TGATTACCAATCATGTAGAAAATTCAATCATCGATAATATATAATATGTGTTCCATTGAATTGTAAATAAATTTAATTGTCAATTATCATCACTAATCATCAAGCAAAAAATTAGCTAATTGTAGCCTAATTGCTTGAGACTAAAACCAGAGCCAAACTTTTTTTTAAACATTAAGATTAAGGAAGTTGGAATCAAATTTCAAAGTCGCAATTATTTAGGTTAATTATTTTTACTCAATTATTATCTGATTGAAATCATTGATTAAACTCAGGTTATCATTCAAGTTTCATGATCATTTTTTCATTCACCATTCAAAAACATCAAGGAAATCATCTTGGAAATTAACCTTTAGGTCAATGTTGTCCATGTTAATCCTATGGTCAAATTTGTTGGTTGTTTTGACCTTCAACTTGACTTTTGTTGATTTTTCTTGTTTCAATTGATGATATTGGTTCATGATGGAAATGATCAACACCATTTTCACAATCATTTATCATGATCACCATCATGATGAACATAAACATTAACGTTTTAATATAATACATGAAATGATTGATGAGAATTGACTATTAAGCTTTTATTACATTAATCAACGATAATTTAACAATAATGATAATTAGCTTAATAGTGATTTCGCTTAATTTGATAACTTTCAACAATCAAATAATAGATTTGATTAGTTTTATTATCAATCGTTATTTTTTAACTTTTCAAGTTAATCAATAAACTTAACTTGATAATATCATTGCAATGAAATGTTTAAAAGTTACAACATTCAACTTGAAACTTTATTATTAGTTAGTTGATTGAATGAAATGTTAATTTAGTTTTACAAATTAAGAGATTTTCTTAAATCATTGATTACAATTAGACTACAAATAACATTGACACAAATTTCCGATCAACCAGAATTTTAAATTCTAAACTAATAGTTAATCTCGGTGAATATATTATTACATTTGGTTGTAATTTACATATAAAAGAGATGATCAAATATACTAATCACCATTAAATTAGAATCAACATTTAATTGTGATCAGTATATTGATCAGATTGGATTGTTGAAAATAACCAAATCTAGTCAATATTTATCATTCAGAGTTTCATCATGATCATTATTACATAACAGTAATTGACTGAGCAATCATGATGGAATCAAAGTTATTATCAATGTTATTCACATGAATCTGTTAATAAGATTAATATTAATTGTTGATCGCAATTTTATTTATCACAATTTCAGTAAATTCAATTTACATTTTAAACATTTCATGGTTGGTGTACTTGAAAAGTTTCACTTGGAATCAAATATTATCATAAATTGAACAGTTCTAATAAAGTGACAAGCAAGTCAATCAGAATTGTTTATCTCATTGTTTATTTTCATGTCTCTGAGTATTTTTACCTCAAGCGTTTACAGGGGATTCAAATCTTAGTATTGATAACATACATCAAGGATAATGCAATTGGTTCAATCAAAATAATACCAATCATGATAAATGTGTTAAGATGATGAGGATGATTGTCAGAGAGAGAGAGAGTGAGCATGGTGAAAATCTGTGAAAGTTTCAAGATGAGTAAAGATATAATCAGGGGCAAGGAATCATCAACATCTCTTGGTGTAATTTGGACTGAGAATCATCAACTAAATGTCATCAGTTTTATTTGTTTTTCCTCTTTTACACTAAAAGTTTTTCTTTTCTTTTCTTTTTTATTTCATTTCATTGTAACTGAATTCAGGGTAAGAACACTAGGAGATAATGAAGACAATGATTCGGATGAATACCTTGGAATATGTTATGGGCGAATGAAAGTGAGACCCAGAGAGAAGTCGACAAGATAAAGAAAGAAAGAAAAGAAAGAGAGAAAAAAAAACTATTCGACCTTCATTGGTTATTGATGTCTATTGGAGTTTCTAATGTCGATCAGAAAGAGATGAAGATGAGATGATGATGCTCATCATGATAAAAGAGTAAAAGTCAAGAGAGAGAGAGAGAGAGAGAAAGAGAGAGAAATTATGAGAATTCATTGGGAGATCAAGAAGAGGTTATCAAGATGAACATCATCATTTTCCTCATCATCTCAGCTAAATGAAGATTCTTTCCCTTGTCATCCCTATTCTCATCAATTGACATCATTCATTTACTTACTTTTTTTTCATTAGAAACCATAGTTTTATGAGTATCCTCATCATCTTGATTTAATCTTCATCATCGATCCGATTCTTATCATCATCATCATCATTAAACATGAAAAAAAGGCAAGTGAGAAAGGTTAACTCACTCAACTCTCTCTCTCTCTCTCTCTCTCTCTCTCTCTTTCATCTTTAATGATTATGATGAGGAAAAGGGAGAGATTGATAATTACAAAGAAAATCTCAATGTCAAGTAAATATTGATTCTAATCAATGTAATAATAAGTGTGACAATTAAAGTCAGTTGCCAATATCATATTAACCTAAATACCTCAGAATCGAGTGATAAATTAATCAATTGGTAATCGATCAAATTTAATTGATTATTTTCACAATGATTGTGTTAAGACAAAAGAGATGAAGCTAAAGAATGAGGATAAAGATGGAGATAAATGATAGATAATCAAGTTAATCATTTTCTTTTAATCCTTTTGATCGTTGATTATTTAATAATATCGTCAACAAGTTGATTCGTTTTTCATTTTTATCTTAATTCATCAACGAAAAAAAAAATGATAACAATGATGGTAAGAATATGTCTCACGGTTATCAGTTAATTGCCATAAAAATAAAAGCAAAAGATAATCACAATTAACTCAGCATGAGATTCAGCTTTTTGTTTTAATTACAATTAAAACTTCACTTTTTAATTGTGAAAGATTATTGAAAGACATGAAATAATATTAGGGTGGAGATGATGATGATGATGATGAGCAATTAAAACTGATTCACTAATAATCAGTAACAATTTATATCTCCTAATTTAGTTATTATTATTATCATCATGTTAACCTGAGATTCAATATAATAATCATTGAATACAATGAGTCAAGATGAAACAATTGATTTAATTGTTGTTTTAATTGTCAATTCATTTGTTTTCAATTTTATTTTGTTCAATTCCCTCTTTGTTTTATAATAAACTTAATTGTCAACAATATTCAATGTTATTGGAAATTAAGATAAACTTTTCTGATATAATATAAAAAAAAAATTAAACTGATTGTTATTAGTTTTTTGTTTTGTTTTTGTTAATCAGATGAAACATTTAAATTTGTAAACAATTTTTACAATTTAATCATTTTCATCGAGTACAATTCATTATTATAATGATAATCTAATTACATCTAATTGTTACAATCAATGGCACTTGATGATGAGAATGCTGGTGATACCATTTGATTAATAAAAATATTTCATATCCTGGTTTAAAGATGTAATTGATTAGAGGATAATGATATGTTATTACCTATTAACAGTTAAGTTAATTGTGACTCCCTTAAGATTGATTTAGAAACTAAATTAAAAGTTAAACAGGTAGAGAGAGAGAGAGAAATGGTGATGATGATGATGGAAAATGTTTTAAACTTGAAAACAAAAAATCAATGTTGATCATCATTTGGGGTGGGGTTTAGGGATGCTAATGATGGAGAGATGATGATGGTCAAAAATGACGATGGAATTAAGTTAAGAACTTGAATGTTTATCTTGACCAACATCAATCCACATCACTTTTTCATCCAAAATCATTTTATCAGTGAAAGGTTGATCTTCATACGAGAGAGAGAGAGAGAAACCAATCAACTTTTCTGTCTGGAAAAACGAGTGCCACAAGTTTGAGAAGAGAAATAATTTGCAATAGAATTTGTTGAGGCTGATAACCGGAAGTCGCCGAGAAACTCCATCAAGAGGGCAATAAGAAAGAAAGAAAGAAAGATAGAAAGAGAGAGAGAGAGAGAGAGATCATAATCATCATCATTATCCATGAATTTGTCTTATCCCTGAAAAAAACCTGAGGATAATAAAGGCAAGTTATATGAAGAGTCTACAGATGATGAAGCCGGTTTCAAGAAGCAACATCATCTTTACTGATAATCACCATTTTCTTAATCGTTTGGGTAATGATTTAAATCACTGGTACAGAAAAAAAATCCATGATCAAAGTTCAGATTCAATGAAAATTGTAAAAGTTCAATGATTCATTGAAAAGAAAGAAGCAAAAATTTGAATCACTAATCAATCTAATAACAATCTAGAACGAGAATAGCTAATTGTCATCACCATAATCATCATCATCATCATCATCATCAGGAAAATTTATATATAACAATTGAAATTAATAAAATCTAATATATTTGACAAAAAAAAACAGTGTAAATTTAATAATTAATTAAATACTATTGATACAATTGAATTTGTCATTGAATTTTTCATGATAATAAAACATGATGATGATGAAAACTGAAAAACTATTCCAATTCATTGTGATTTTCATACGACAATAATTAGAAGCAGACATAATTAATAGATTGTATTGTTCACCATAATCATTAATTAACAATTAAACTATAAATTGTTAACCTTATTCAACAATTAATTGTTAAATCATTGACAACAGAAAATAATTCTGGACTTTACCAAATCATTTCCATGAAGATTGTAAAAAAACTTTACCATGGAAATGATTGAAAAAATGTTCAATAATCAGAGAGGAAAAAAAAAGTTAATTGTTGATTAAACAATAATCAATTGTAATTGTTATTAAATTGTTATCATAAGTAATCAAATTTCTCATGTTGATACTTGTTGATTTTGTTTCAATCCAATGAGAGTAACAATTTAAAAAAGTTAACAAGGTTAAATTACATTGAGAGAGAAACAATTTCACTTTCATTTTAAATTAACTAAATTAGTTAAATCTCATCATCAAACTCAATTAAATTAAATTGTTTAACTAATTTAACTCAATCTTTTAATAGATTATTGTTATTACAATCAAGGAGAAAAGTAAAAAATTTTAATTACCTTGGATTGGACAATCTTGATGAGTTAATTGTGATCCTCAAGTTGATATTAATTGTTGTTGATTTTAATTGTTCACTCAGTGTTGATCATTTAAATACCTAAATTATGATTAAGTTTTTGAGTTAATCCTTTTTTTAAAACTGGATTTAATTTTAGTCCAATGGATTAAATTGTTGATGATGAAATGTTATGTTGTTGTAATGATCATTTAATTTAATTTTAATCTCACAATTAAACCTTGAAAAAATTAAATTACCACAACAATCAATAGGCACACATTGAGAAACACACATTAATTGTAGTTAATTAAACTGAATCAATTTAATTGTTGATACTTTTACTTGATTCAAGTTTAATGATTATGATGATTATTTCACTTGATCCGTTTGAAAAGGTGAGACAATTTAAATTAATTGTGATGATGTTTGTTGCTTGGATATTGTTATTAACTTAATCATCATTGGCATGAGATCAAATCAACTGTTAATTGTTAGTGTACCAATCAAGTAAATCTCAATACTGATTATCAATATAACTTAAGCAACACTTGTTGTTGATTGTTGATCATTTAAAACATTCACAGTTTGATTAACTAGATATTTAAATGAGCTAGTTGATTATTAACAATTACAATTAACTTTGGTGTTTTAATGGTAAAGATAAAAAAAAAGTTACAATGTAACTCGACTGGTTCACAGTCAGTGAGATAAATGAAACCAAGAAAAATGTTTGCATCATTGAGAGAGTGATGAGAGTGAGCAGAAAGGTGAAGAGGATGAAGAGGATGAAAAGGATGATGAGAGAAAGAGAGAATATTTACTTTCTTTCCTAATAGAAAGGAAAACAAGTATGAGGAAGATGAAAGAAGACAAAGTGCGAAAGAGAAAAGAGAAAGAAAAGAAAAGTGAAAGAGAGAGAGAGAGAGAGAGAGAGAGAGAGAGAGATGATGATGATGATGATGATTATCAATTCTATTCTTTTTCTGCAACTTTTTTCTCCACCATGTAATTGTCTATGTTAGAACGAGGAACAAGTGGAAAAAAAAGAAGAGAGAAACAAAAAAGAAAACAAAATTCGTTCTAAACTCAATAGAACTTTTCGAATTACCTAATATTCGAAAAAAGAATTGAATAGTTAATTTCGAGGTGAATCATTAATGAATCAATTGTAATCATTTAATTATCGTAACATTCACATGAACCATAATCATTTCGATTAAAAATTTACTCTATTCTCATAAAATTAGTTCCAAAACATTTCGAGAACTTAATTTACCTCTTATAACATTCATTATATTATATCTAAATACTAAATATAAATAATTAATTACACAAAATGGAAAATACCTGTAAATTAACATTCAATATCTACCTGAAAAAGATTAAGGATTAACCAATAAAATGATTAAATTTAAGCTGATTAATGGATTAACTTGAAAGTCACATATCGTTAATATTTTACCTTTAATTGTGATTGGAAAACAAAAAACAATGAAAAGCAAATTAAAAACATTTTTTAATCTTTCAAATTGAAATAATAAAATAAATTGAATCTCAAATAGATTCATTTTAATTAAACCTTTTCTCCATCATGATAATAATAATCATCATCACTTCATCATGATGATAACTGAATTAATCTAAATCAAAACTGTGAATCAGTTTATATTTATACACTTTCATTATTATTATTGAAGATGAAATCACATAAATTTAAGTTAATATTAATGAAAGCAAGATTATAATAGTGACCAAGATGATGGACATTGGATGGATTCTCAACCATTTGTTGATATATAATCAACATTAATCAAATACTATAATGGATAAACAATTACAATTCATTCATCTTTTGTCATGATCATGATGATTACTCAGATTATTATCTTATTATTATTATTATTATTATTATTATTATAAGGATTCTCTTAAAGTAACAAGTTGAGTTGATAACGTTAAAACCTTTCTCACAATGGATATTAAAATTGTGATTATATTAATAGTAATTAAAGTGAACAATTTAAATTGTTACCAGTGATTAGATTTCCATAATCTCATAATAATAAGAAATCATGAATGAAACAGCAAAAAGAAAGCCAAAATTCAAAGGTAAACCTCAACATCAATTTTAACCATGAACTTTTTCATGGTGATGATGAAGATGATGATAAGAAAGATGAGCAAATTATGATAACAAGTTAATCTTTATCATCCTTTCAAGTTAATTCGTGTTTCTTAATCATATCATTTGATAATTATCATGATGATTATCATATGGAAAACAATATTTAGATGTGTGTATATAAATAGCAATTTGTTAATCATGTTTATTATCATTTCTCCTTTTAAATAATATTATCAAGTTAATCCTTTTAGATTGTGTAAAACTTTTTCAATGGTTATCATCATGTTGTCTTCAATTCCTTCAAGTTTCATTTCCTTTTCATGATACATGTAATGTAACTTTAAAGGTCAATTGATTGCATCATCTTTAAGTGACCCTTTGGTTGTTGTTGTTGTTGTTATGTGACTTTGGTGATGATGATAAACAATAAAATGAATTGTAAATGGCTATTTCAATGTAGATCAGTATTTCATCCTAGTTACAGGGAAAAGTTCACCATAACATGATCTTTGTTTTTGAATAGAGAAGCAAAAAAAAATAAGAAAGAAAGAAGAAAAGAAAGAGAAAGAAAAAAGTTCTGATGATTCTCAGTGTGTGTTGAATTCAAATCTTTTATTACCATGTTGTTTATTATATATTAGTTTCCCATCAACAGGGAATCATAATCATAACCGTAATATAATCATCATCAGAATCATTTTCATCACTACTAACCTCCAATTCAAAGTTTTATCTAATGTTAAACATGAATTATTATCATTATTTTCATGATAATCATCACCATTATCATCGTCATCATCATTTTCATCATCATTATCAGTAACTTGTTTACATTATTCTGTTTTTTTTATTGATTTGGTTTCAGGTAAGAAAAAAGGTATTTAGATCAGCCTTAAGGTGGACGGAAGATGGATACACATATATGTATGTACCTGGGAAGATGATGATGAGAAATTATTTATATTTTAATTAAGGGCAATCTTCATGTAACCACTCCCATGAATTCAGGGTGAAGAGAGATAGAAAAAAAAAATAATAATAATAATTGTTGAGTTCTAATCAATCAATTGGTTAATGAACACACAAAGTTTGCGCTTTTTTACAATAAGGAAAACATTTGATTGACAGTAGACTAAAGTGTTGACCCAATTTCAAACGGCTTCGAACTGACCAAATATCATATTCCTATTTTATCTTTACCGTATTTAACATTAGATATATTGTCAACTATTTTCGACAATCAACAAATGTTATATTATTAATATTAACTTTGATTGTTTATCGATATCGATATTTTTTCTTCTTCTTCTTCTTCTACTTGTTATTTGATCTTCAATCATCATTATCAGAGATATTAAATGTATCTTGTTCACTTCATCTTCTTTACTTTATCTTTGCTTATCCCTTTTTTTTGCTCTCCTCTTATACTCTGATCATGATTCCCTGCAGGTAAAATCATTGATGATAACTGAAACCTGATCAAAGGGTCAACAAGACTTTTTGGTCCCGGAAGTGATACTATTTCTGTTGTTAGTGACACAGGAAAAGTGTATGAAAGATTAACTAAGGATGGAGAGAGAGATGATGATGATGATGATGATGATAATGATGACCAGCAACTTTTTGATGAATCAAAGTTACTTCATTTGATAATGATAAGTTTTTGTTGGTGATAAAAGATAATCTGTCTTGAGATTAACATGGAGAAATCATCAAAACATGAAAATAATGATGTTTAATTGGAGGGGAAGATGAAGATAAAAAGCTGGAGAAAATAAGAGTTTATAATAATCATGATGAAAACACGAGAATAGAAATATTTGTTGGAAGATTATCTTTAATGATACCTCATATGATAATGATGGTGATAAACAATGGAGCTCATACAGACACACACACACTCACACTCTCACTCTGAATGGTGAGTTAATCTTCATTTCAGTTATCATCATTATCTTCACTTTTTAACCGTAGAACATGAAAATGTAAATCAATCACATGTTATTATTTTCTAAGTGATGACAGAGGAATAACTAAAAAACCAGGTAAATGGAAAGAGAGAGAGAGAGAGAGAAGAACAAGAATTTTTTTTATAAGAATGAGTATCAACTAAGTGAGAAGGAGAGAAGTGAGATTTTCTGGCGTAAATAATGAGAGAGAAAACAAATAATAACCATTTGACTTCCCTGTTGACGAACAAGCAAAATAAAAGGAAAAGAGGAGAAGAAAAGAAGAAGAAAAGTAAAAGGAAACTTATTTTATTTGTAATCATTTTGGAAGAAGAAGAAGATAAAAGATGAGAAAAGATGAGAAAAATTACTAAGAATAAAAAATGATTGCGTTCATCTTTTTTTGAGAAGATGAAATGAGTGAGAATTTCAAGAGAGAGAGAGAGAGAGAGAGAGAGAGAGAGAGAGAGAGAGAGAGAGAGAGAGATAATGACAATGATAATGCGTGAAGAATCATAGAAAGAGTGAAACCAATGATGATTATTTTAGAGAATCAGAAATAAAATGAAATAATGCTGAGAACATGAATTCTGAAGAAAGATATGAACCATGATGCAAATATTATCATGATCGTCTAAATGTTGTTGACTTTTACCAGTAAATACAATCAAAAGTATTTGTAATTTGATCATATCCATATTACCCTTTTTTCATATTCAAAGTTTTGTTTGGCGGTTTTCTTGTTATCCTAATATGTTGTGTTATGTGTCTTAGGAACAAGGTTGACAAAAAAAGCTCATATAATCCTCATGAAAAGTGAAAGAATTGTCATTTGCATCTATTGACAGATGAAGAGTCGAATGAAGAGATGAGAGAGAGAGAGAGAGAGAGAGAGAGAGAGAGAGAGAGAATGGAATTGGAAAGTGTCAAATGAGAATGTTGATCATTTGGTTAGCGAACCAAAAAGAAAAGAATAAAATAATTGATGAGAATTGTTGATAACCCTCAGGCCTTTCGTCATAAAATATTGGATAGAATTTTTTGTCTTGAGAATAATTTGATTAAATGTATGTGATGATGATGATAAAGAATCATTAATATCCTTATATTAATGAAAAGAGAAGAAAATATTTAAACTGTTGGAAATACGAATAAGTTAAATTAGAATGACATTTGTGATATTAACAAGAAAACATGTTCAACTGAAAATTGCACGAATTTGCTAATAAAATTTCATATGCAACTAATTCAGTTTCCCTGGTTGATTCAAAGTGTCAAAAAGCTCGTAACAATTTAAGAGTAATCAACAATCGACCTGAGGTTAAGCAAGATTTTGCCGTTTGCGTTAAAGGACTTGACTTTCTCCATGAAGATCTTAGTGTCCGTCTAATTGAATGGATTGAACTTTTGAAAATACTTGGAACCAAAAAGATTTTCCTTTATGAGATGGAAATCCATCCAAATATATCTAAAGTTTTAAACTATTATCAAGAGAAAGGATTAGTTGAATTAACACCGATCACTCTACCTGGAGATCAGCCCAATTTACCTGGTTTCCAACATCTTTACCTGAAAAACAAGTTGACCGCTAAAAGACAAAATGAACTGATCCCTTATAATGATTGTCTTTATCGGAATCTTTATTCATATTCATATTTAGCATTACTGGATATCGATGAGATTATTATGCCCTTACAGCACGACAATTGGTCTGATCTAATGGCCGTTGTTGAACGGGAATCACTAAAGGAGAAAAACTATTCCCGTGCCAGTTATAATGTTCGTAATGCTTATTTCCTTGATGATCTGGGTGTCGGTGAGCAACAGATGAAACACACAGCCATGAGCGGAATTCCGACCTACCTTCATGTTACAACATGTCTATCGATCTCGAAATTACACTAAACCAGGACAGTACGTTAAATGTTTCCACAATACGGAAAGAGTTGTTTCCCTTCATAATCATTTTCCACTTAATTGTTTTGGCTCATGTACAACCTATTCAATCAACACTTCATTAGCTCACCTTCAACATTATCGTAAAGATTGTGTCGGTCCATTGAAAAACTCATGTAAAACCGATTTCAGGATATACACAACTCGAGATACAACAATATGGAAATACAAAGATCAACTAATCGCCAATTCAAATGCTGTTCTCAGTCAACTTGGTTTCTTTGAATCACCATCACCATCATCATCATCTTCATCTTTATCTTTATCTTCATCTTCATCATTCAATGAACAACAAAAATCGCCATCTCTTCTCTTCATCATCATTATCATCATCTCTAGGCTCAATTTGGTCATCATTTTGGCTCCTATTATCCTTTCATTATCTTTTAATCATCAAATCTTTCAATTGAATTTTAATAAGAGCTAACATGCTTTTCAAATATATTTAAATAAGATTCTTTTGTTATTTATCTTTTTCTTTATTCTCTTTCTCTCTCTTTCTTTCTTTCTTTCTCTCTCTCTCTCTTCTCTTTCCACTCTCTACTCTCTTGAGCTGCTTTCAAATTAGCCGCCTCACGCGCGCTCAGCTCATTTCGTTTGAATTTCTCATGAACGGATGCTTAGATTGTGCTCTGACTATTTTTGCACTCTATGGGAATTTAGGATGAATTATTGTACCGAACTCTCGTAGTTTTGACACAATGTTGCAACAAAAATTTCGCTTACTTTAATCATGAGTTTTTCTTTTCTCGAATTCAGTTTATTTTCTTAATGATAATTACCACTGATTCTCGTTAATCAGTTATCGTCAATGTTGAATGAAAATTCAGTTAAAATGTCAGGGTCAATTCTTATTCCAGTCAATTAGATAGATAGTTTTTACGTTCTAACGGTTATTATAATAACTTAATTACACCTAATTAGACTTCTTAATTCATTACATAATCACAACTAAATTATGATTTAGTCTTGATGGTCAGAAACAAGGTCAGAAATTATCAGTAAGCAAAATAATTTCCCGAAAAAAAAAACAAATTAAGCCAACTAATTATCTAATCTAAACAATCTCATCATTTAATCAATTAATTAAACTCCTATTAAGCAATCGGAGGGATATAATTATTTTTGGAGATAAATAATCATAAATGATCAATACAATCTACACCCTAATCTACTAATTAATCAGTGAAATTATAGCTTAAAAAATTAATTGTTTACAATAATTGATTCATCTTTTTAATGTACTTGTATTATTAGTTTAAATTTCCTTGAGAAGATCAATTAAACCTCTCAAGGTTTAATTGTTCAATTTGATTCTCCTTAATTGTGTTTTATGTGAATATTCATCATGTAATCATCATGGTCAATCTCATGAGTGACCTTTAGAATACCTGTAAATATTAATAGTAAGATTATTTTATCATAAAATTAACAATTAATCATAAGAAAAACCCGCAGGTTTCATTAATTTAATTTAAAAATTTTGAATAATCTCAACGATGTTGATGATGATTTAATCATCGTCAATAAGAGTTGAGGGAACGAAAAACAAATTAACAATTAACATGATGTTACGATTAGAAAATTTAACTTAATCATTGAGATTTCGTAATGATTTCGTTAATTTAATCAATTCTAATCCAATTAAGAGCTTTTCCAATTTAATCCTACTTATAATCTAACAATTAACTCTAACTTATCGGTGTCTGTATTATCAGACAATTTGATTGTTAGTCTATCGATTACTTATTAATTATTGTAGTAGATTCTTGATGAAAACGATTCTCAACTATTCTGATCCTTTTCGAGATAAAGTTTATCGCTTTTAAAACAATTCGTTTGGTAGTTTATTTTTCATGGTACAAAAGTTCAGTTGATAAAATGATCGTTTCTTTTTCATCAATGACCATCAAGATGATAAATGAATTTGATTGAACAAAAAAAAAGAACAATAAATGAAATAGTAAATTTTCAAGTTCCAAATTCGATGAGAATTATTTTCTTGGACGAAACTTTTTCCATTCCGAGTATATTATTATGGATTAAGTTATCAAACTCTAGTTATTATTATGAGAGATGAAAACATTGGATTGGAAATCTGATCACTCGATAATCTTGATGATCTGAATAATCATAATTTCATTTGTCTGATCAATTAAATCAGGGTAACATACAATCATTTTATCTTAAAGGTGATTGTTACAATTAATGAATCCATTTAACCCCTGAAACTATTTTCCAATTGTTAATAATTGTGATAATGATCAACTAACATAAAGATAATAAGTAATCACAATTAACTACAATGTTGTAAATTTCGGTGAAAATTAAAATGGTAGAGAAACTTGTTGATCATTGAAATGATAATGGAAAATCATTCATCTGAACTTCTTGGTGGTTATTGAAAAGGTTTGCAGGTAAATTCTGATTCCCTATTAATATTCATAGTATCAGATTGAAAGTTTGATTATTTTCTATTCAAATTATTTATCGATTATTTCTTCAATTTCAAAGCTGATGGATCAAGCGAATCATGAAAATCTTTATTCAGAAAATTCAGTAAACGATAAGATATTATTTTCCCTTTCAGATCACATATTTTCCCAAGCTTAAACTTCAATTATTATTATTATGATTATCATCAACATCATCATCATCATCATCATCTTTATCTATCATCAAATTATTATCATGAATGAATCGAGAAAAAATCAAATATAAGCTTGAATTCATTGAAATTTGATGCACAACCGATTTCACTATTTCCATTTCCGGAAGTTTAAGTTCCTCATTTCATTTTTCTCTTGACAATGATCATGTTATCAGAATAAATTACAGGTTATCAATATGATTTGGCGAATTCTATCTAATTTAATTATCGCAGGATTTTGTTACCAATTTTTTTTTCTCTCCTTACGATCGATAATATATCTTCCCATTGAACGAGAATAGGAAGAAACAAGAAGAAGAAAAAAAAAGTTCCCCTTCGAACGGAAATGTAGACCTAAGATATTGTATTCCAATTACGATTTTCGATGAGCTTGTTATTTTCCAGAAAGAGAACTCTGAATAATAGAGTCAAAGATATAATATTTATATAAGTATCTCGATATTAATATCAAGATAATTAGGCGATTTTCCATTTTAATTAATATCATTTTTCTCATTTCATGGTGGAAATTTAAAAACTCGATCATTTGTTCAAATTCATTTCATTTACTCGATTCATGAAATTATCGGAATAAAACATAAATGGATTACAGAGAAACAATTACTTTCAAGTTTGATAGAATCCGAATTGACCAAACTGACCTGATAATCATAATAATAGACCAATGAAACTGAAGGTGTGGTCGAGGGTCAATATTATAAAGGTTAACTTTATCGGAACAATTTGATTCAATTATGAAAGGATATCAATCATATCCGATGATTATCCAATTCTATCCAGTTGATTGTCTAATTTCCGTCAAGCTTGACCTAATCTAATCGATTTAATCTCTTTAATCCAATTTTTTTGCTTCTTTTTCTTATCAGAGAGATTTTCACATTTTGATCAACCAACAAATCATCATCAGTATAATTCAATTACTAGATTAACTTAATCACTTGATTGTCTTTCAATAGCAAAGATATTCAAGGTTAATCACAATCAATGAATTCCTCTTACCTTGATTTAATCAATTCCTTTAACAACAACAACAATTAACTCTAATCAATAGATAAGGTTGATGATAATTTCATCTAATTAAAACTTGATCAACACCAAGTTGACAAAATAATTAGATAAATAATTGAACACTAATAATGTAAGAGTTTTTTTTTCGTAATTAATTGTCAATTAATCGAAGGTGATAATTGTTATCAGATTGATGCACAATTGAAAGTTGAGAAAAGTTAATTATTTGATTAATTCGCTAATTTTTTATTCTTCTTAATCTTCACCATGTTGTCGGGGAAACTGAACAATTAATCAGTTGATCTGTAATTCCATGAGATCGAGTTTCAATGACGTGACTATATGGAAAGAAGAAACAAACTCGAACTCTGTTCAATTATCCTGAGTATTTTATCATCATCATCATGAAATTTTATCCAAAATTTTCACCAATGTTTAGATTTACATTGAGCAGGTTTACCTTGAGTTGGATTAATTTAGTGATGGTTCAAGTACAAATCTATTAAATTTGGCTTAAGATTAAAGAGTAACAATCAACATTACATTTAATCTGTACAAAGATAATTTAAACAACCGGATTAACCCAAATTGTTGATAAATTTTCTGGTTTATAATGTAAACATGTTAAGCTTTATGACACTTTGAAACCATATCGCTTGTCAATAATAATGTTCAACCTCTTCAAGTAACAATTTACATTTTACTTGAAAATTTATCAACTGAATGGATATTAAAGTTTCAATCAATTTCTGATAAGTTTCTTAAACTTTTTTCCCAATATATATTGTGTAACATATTCTCATGTATATCAATTCTTGGTGTAAATTATCATGAAACCTCTCGGGAAAGTTATTCTACTTTTAATATCCTTTCCTCTTGATGATAAATGAAATGAAAATCAATCCATTTAAAAGGTAATTCATCACAATTTTCATTCAATCATTCAATCTGATTACTATTTTTACCTTTACCTGAAAACTATTGGAAAACTTTGGTCCAGATTAACATGATAACCAATCCAATAATTGAGTTAAATTCAATTAACTGTTAAGTAATTGTATCAAATTTCATGTTTCACAATTTCAAGAGACTCTCATCAATACTTAACTCATTATGTTGTGAGAAATATATTATTATATATATTTACAATTCTTGTTTGTTTATCTGATTATCATGAACACCATTGAATTTTGCTTCTCTGACCATGATCACTTTCATGAACATCTATTGTCAGATTACTTATCGTGACTTGTAAATCATTTAATGCTTTCAACTACATTATTATATTACATTAGATGTAATGTTTTTCTATGAGTTTGCATGATGATAATTCTGATGATGATGATGATGATAATTTTAAATACTACTTACCGTTAATCTGCATGCAATTCATTTCATATATCTACTCAATCACTTACCTTTCTCCTTTGTTTCCTATTCAATTCTAACAAGTGTGTAACCTTTTTACTTCATTCAGGTTGATACATTGAAATATAATCACTTGAGGTTTCATTTGATGATTTGAAAGTGCATGAGGTTTCTTGGTGTTGTTACTGCTGCTTACCTGAGTTTCATGGAGTTTCATCTTCTCATGAAATTAGATTGAAAAGTTTTGATAAGCCAAAGAAAAGTTTCACATAGAATTTCAATTTGGATATTAATGAAAAGGTTTGATATTTAATTTCAATTAGAAAATAATAATAATAGAAAGTTTTTTTCTTCACCAAAATGAAGGATATAATTACTAA